TATATGTGAAACGATAATTCACCTTCAGATTGTTTTGGTGATTTTCATAATGCTCCTGAAGTCTTTTTATCCAGACTGCCAGCTTTTCCTTGCAAACCTCAGCACATGATTTACCTTGTTCGAGGTCTTTCCTTGAAGAGAAAAACAATTTTTCTTACAGTTGCATAAATTACTAAGCGGACAAATGCGAAATGTACAGCGATTGAATTTAAAGAGCTGCGACGATGCTAACTAACCCGACATGCTTTATGTAATAACTTTAGAAGCATACGCGTATGCAAGACAATCCTAAGTAATCCTCATTATTTTTTATTTCTCAGGGAGTAGTAAAAGTTTTATCACAAAAGGGAAGGAAGAAGATAACAAAATCTCTTCAAACCCATTACTTTAGAGTACTCAATATAACATTTTCGAGCTCCTATACCACACATTAGGTCCGATAATGACATTAATTATCACAATTTTAACTTTTTGTTTGCTCACTGAAATAAAATACATTGGGTTTTTTTATTCCGTTTGTTAAGACAAGACTGAAAAACTAGTCATTCTGGATCATACATAGGATAATCTGGTTTTATCAGCTGAGTTGACAGTGTAAGAGTTCTAAAGCCGACTTTTTGGGCACTTTTCCTTCGATAAAACGAATGGCGTAGGGCTAACGCTCGATTTGCCAGCTTCGGAAGTTGTTTACGGTGGCAATTTGCATATTATTCAACTCACTTGATAAAATCCAATTAACTTGTATTATTCCCCACCGACGCAGGAAAATAGTTTTATAGAAAGTTAATGCTTCTGTTCGTGAATTATATACATTGTAGGTTTGTATTAGGCATACTCATGTGGTTTTCAATTTTACGAGCCGTTAAATTAAAAAAGGTTAGGCTTTGTTTCTATCTTAAAAATATGGCTGCTTGTCAAATTGATGACAAAAATCAGGGACGCGTATAGAAGAACACAAACACGCAGATGGTTTCACCAAATAGGTACACCAAAGCTTAAATTGATTTGTAGGGTTCTGCTGCAATAAACTACCTCGATTTCAATACATAGATAGTCTATAAATAGACCCATACGCATTTGCAATTTCAAGTTAGCACCTGCTGAAATGAAACCATCAAAAACTTTAAACTGGATTGTTGCTTAAAAGAGCTTATAGTCTACTCTTTCGGCCTTTTAAGTAACGTTCCAGCTCCGGAATGGAAATAAGACGCAAATCATGCAATAACACGATTAACTTTAGACCCGTAACTGAAAATAGATTCAAATAAATACAAAATTCAAAACCTAAAAAGACTCATGCACACAGATAGCTGTTGTCATTTCATATGAACGTACTGTTTATGTCCGTGCGAGTCGTTGACTGGTGAGGGAAATGTTGCTGGACGGCAGTATTCCGAGCGGAAGATAACTAACATACATTTGGCTGAATTAAACAAGAAAAGAAGGCCCTATTGCTAGTTACCTTTCCAGTGGTGGATAACCCTCAAACGCACAGGAACCATAATGCTGTCTCCACTTGTGAACAAATGGACGAACCAATGTCGGATTTGTTTTCTCCGACTCATCATTCGTACAACCTTCTCTATACCAGTGTTGTATTTCCGTGTAGAGTGGATTTGTCGCTGCAGGTTTCACAAAATTGTCTAGTTCCTCTTCATAGATTGCCATCACCATATGAGTTAGTGTAGACTGGCAATGAGAATCTTCAAAGAACCCTAAACTTTTTTTCGCGTCCTCTATCAGGTTGTTTCTCTCCTCTTTTACACTTTTCACTTCGAGATCGAGATCTCTCCAGTCTTTCCATATATCTCGACATTCCTGGAGAACGCCGTCCTCCCGAAACTTTAAGATACTATCGTCGCTGTCAAATTTCTTCTCTAACAGTTCAGTGAGTAATTTTCGCAGTCGATCAAAGTCGGCCACCGACAGTGCTAGGTTATACCAAATGTTCCACAAGAAGTCTACATCAGCAGGGACATCAGGATTTATCACACTAGCGACCTCTAGGAGCACAGCATCGCGTGCTATCACTGATGGATCATAATCATTCAAATGGAAACTTAAACTCTTAGGACGTTCACGTGGTTTTCTTAGAGATAACTCAGACAAACTGCATAGGAAATTTCTAACATCACCGCATGCTAAGAGCAACACGTATACATGTTGTTCTATCGATGAGCCCAACAGCTCCGTTATATCTCGGGCTGGTGTGTTTCCCATCGCGTACGTGTACAAACCTTCTGGGTAAAGAGTTATTCGCATCGGATTATGAAAACTTAGGTTAGGAACACCTTGCTTGTCGTATTTTGTCATTTTGGAGGTAAGTAAATCAAGAGAAATGCGACAATGTCTCTTAATGTTTTAGAATAAGCTTCGCGAATCTTAATTCTGAGAATCATGGACTCTCGTCTAATTCTGAGAATACTAGCCGCGAGAGATCTGGATTCGACCAAGATTTTACCGGAAGTTAGATTACCCATATGTATTTGTTCTATTCCTGAAAGTAAGGAAACAACTAAGCTTTTAGTAGGTAGAAATAATTTTTGTTTGACCTCAATTTTCTCATTTGATATATTTCTGCTGTTTTTATAAATTTTTTCTTTTAAACTTGTAGTAAGGATAAGCTCTTTATCGCTCAGTAATCAATTCTTTGTTGTCGAACTCAGACCACCGCGGACAGAATTCTCCGAATTGGTTTCCCTTGCTACTATCTTCGAACTGATTCTTACCTGGAAAGTTTTTCATCTTCCATTAAGTTGTTATATTTCAAAATGGCGAGATACGGAAACCAAGGCGTTCCAGTGTTAAGCTTTCATAATCCAGCAGGAATGATTCTCTATCCTAAAGGTCTAAACACATACGCCATGGGAAATACAAGGGCTCGAGACGTGACAGAATTATTAGGAACCTCGAAAGAACAACACCTGGATTTGCTGCTGCTAGCGTCTGGCGATGTAAGGAATTTTTTGTTCACTGTATCCGAGCTATCATTGAGGAGACCTCACGATCGTCCGAGGAGTTTAAGTTTCCATTTTAACGACTACGACCCATCGGTGATTGCTCGCAATGCTGTGCTCATACAAGTCGCGAATGAGATAAATCCTGATATCCCAGCTGATGTGGACTTCTTGTGGAATATCTGGTATAATTTGGCTCTTTCTCAGGACAACTTTGACCGACTGCAACAGGTAATGTGTAGATTGCTTGCGAAAAAATTTGACAGCGCAGAAAGTATCTTGAAGTTTGAAGATGGCGCTGTTCTCCGGGAATGTTTCGACATTTGGAAGGATTGGATGACTCTTGATCTTGACGTAAGAAAGGTTAAGGAGGAAAGAACCACACTGATTGAAAGCAAAATGCAAGAACTCAAATTTGACGTGGATGCTCAGTGTTTGGGTGTACTATCAGAAATGATGATGGGACTTAGTCAAGAAGCAGACACGCAATTTTTCGAAGCAACTCATGCGAATCCATTTTATACGGAAGTAAAGCACTGGTTTTGCGAAGGTTCCACTTCGAATGAGTCCGCGAGGACAAATCCAACCTTGATTCGTCCATTTGATCATAAATGGAGGTTACATTATAATTCTTGTGTGTTTGAAAGTTACTTGCCAATCGAAAGGTGAGCATAATCATGTACAGCATAAATTACATTTAATTGCATCGTACGTGAATTCAATTAATTCAGGATTTATTTTAGAGTTAGAATGAAACAAACTTAGTTTAAACGTCTTCTTGTAAGGTTTGATATTACTAAAGGGTAATATTGTTGGAAAGAAAATAATAGCAAGACATAAATCGCTGTGCAAAACTATACAAGCTTTACTATGAGATTTATGTTAACTCCGCTTTGCTTAGTAGTGTAATCAAGTTTAAAGAGGATGAAGAGAGTAATTTCTTAAAGAAACTATGGTGCTTTCAGTGAGGGTATTACAAGGTAATTTTGCTTTATCACAATAGCTGATAAGCCTATAAAGCTTACGTTTCGAACGTTAGCCCTTCGTCTGAGCGAAAGGCGAAGGTCTATGACGAAAGGCTAAAGCTCGAAACGTCAACCTTAGAGACTTGTTTGCGCTGAAAAAACTTGCACTTCATAAAACCGCATTATCCTCCAAATTAATTATGCCGTTATAAACCGTTGTCTTCTCAGCACTAAACAAGAAAGAAACATAGAAAGATATGTTCAAATCAATTTCTTTAATATTTTCAATACTTGCTTTAATTCGGTGTTCCAGCTTCCAAGCGTAATTATTTCCCTTTTTTTTGCCGTGAAGGGACCAGCTCTTACGATGTAAATCTCTGACGGCAGCTTGCAAAGAAAACTTGAAACTGATGCTGAAACGCTTCCAGCGACAGAGGAAGAACAAGCAAACTTTTTTGAAGGTCAGATTGTGTAGTCTTGATCAGTCAGCAGCGAATCTCATTTAAGCCACCTGAAAATTTTCGCTCTCGAAAGGCTTTTATCCAAGCGGCGAATTCTCCAAATCAAGCAGTTAAAAACTTTTTTTCTCCAAGTATGCCTGTGTCATTTACCGAATAATGCATTGATCAGATGGATGATCCAACTCCCCCCCAAACCATAAGCCCAAATCCTAACCCTGCTGTGACACTCACCCCTCCCTAGCAACTTCCCGGGTTATTTGAACTTTTGAAGATTGGTCTACTAAAATTCCGGCCCACCTCCTCCCCCCCAGGGGTAAACATCGAGTTCAAATGTTCCACCAATTTTTTCCTGAAGAAGGCAAAATCAGGGGCTGTGCCATTCTATACATTTACCAAGCTTTAAACCTAGACCTTGTAGACCTTTTCGCCTGCGCCGTTCGCTCAAGAAAGAGAACTATTTACCTTGAGACGCCTTCATATCTAAAGTTAGAACATTTATATTCCGCTGGAAAGACTTAACCTTCCCGGTTCAAATTCCCCACCCCAGCCATACAAGGTTCAAATTCCCCACCCCCGGGGCACGGGCAACGGTCAAATGCCCCTGGGTTGTCAGGCGGGAGGAATGTAGAAGCTTCAAATTGATCGGTGCATAACATCTTCCTTCACTTAAATCCCCAGGCACAAAATGTACCATCATTATTATTTACATCATCATTATGCCTAAGCATCATAAATCGACATTCCTGTCCTCGCAGTAAGCAGTGACTTTTTTCACCATGGACGTACTTAAACTACCTAGCTAGCCAAGAGTCTCCTATACCTCAATAATAGAGCGTCCGAAGTACTAATCAGAAGGTCTCTACTCCCGTTAGGAGCATTTTTTTTCCGATTATGCCAGTGACACTCCTATTTGTTTCCAAAATATTGGGTTAACAACAGTGAAAAAGTAGCTTTTACATTCTCCGTCTCTCGTGCTCTGTCTTGCCTCTCTAACAGTCTCTCTGATGAGATAAAAGAAAAGTAAAGGTAGGTGGTAAGTCTGTACTCGAGCCAAATGGCCCATCCAGTCTGAGGTTTTTCGGTTTTTTTCAGTGAAGCGACTGGGTGTACATATTACTACTTCCCTTTTGGGTGAGATTTCAGTCTATTGCAAGGTTCCCAACCAAGCATTTCATCAAGCTTTTTCTGACGTGACGCCGGTACGTAATTCAGTTCATTCCTAGTTGAAGAGAGGTACTGTGAAAGTCAGACCTGTCAACCCAGAGTTCAGCGCGCAGACCATTAGGTCACCTCCTGTCCAACTCTAACTTAAGATAAAGGCTTAGAATTGTGTGCATTTGAGAGAAGGAAGGAAGCGAGGACCAGTTGCAAAAAATAGCAGCTAAGGATCGTAAGGATTACAGTTTCGTTACAGAGAACAGAATTCTGTCCAGGATCCAGTTGGATCTCTAAGTCTTTGAGTGGGGGTAAAATTACCTCTTTCTATCTTTCTTGCTAGGTTACTCTGTGGACAGGCGATGCACTTGCTTTGTGTACAAGTGGCTTTCCTCCAGAAATGTCATTCGACGTTATCGACACAAGTAATCTCAGCGATCACATTGGTTTGCTAAATGTTCTTGTTTGCTGTGCCCCAAGGTTGAAAGTGTACGTTAATTCTCATATTAACCATACCTGATGGATTCAACTGGTCAAACCATCATGTTTGATTCAATCCTGAAATGATAAATCATTAACCTTCCTTCTGTAGGCCGAACAGATCTCTCTTGTTTACATCAAGCATGCTATGGTGTGGAGGTTGTGAAAATGTGGCGGAATATTACAACAAATGTGTTGGTGTTCCTTTCCAACTTCTTCCCACTATTCTGGGCTTGAAGCTGGCTGTAGAAATTGAACTGGGAAGCAGGTAGGTACTTTAGATGAAAAGAGTTTTCTGCTTTCAGTTTAGAAAGTTGGTAAGGAAACTATCCTTTACACTCATCACTCACTATCAAAACTTTAGATTCCCACATTCGACTAATAATGAGAACCGAAAAAATTATCAACAAGAGGACATATATTGCAGTGAGAAAACAAGGCAATTTTGGTACTAGCCAAGATTTCATTCCTTGTCATTCCTCCAAGATTGGAGTTGTAAAAGGGTAAAAGGTGATATCAGTGGTGCTATTTGGCTCTGATTTTACAAGCTTTTATCCTTTTTCTGCTGTAGGATATACTGATATCCAGTTGTCACGTGTGGCATGTCCTTCAGTAACATCTCTATCACCGCCACCCTTGTCATCATTATCATCATCATCATCATAGTCATCATCAATTTCGTTATTAATACTGTTTGTATTCTTAGTTACCATTCTCTCCGCTAACATTTTGGTCTTCTATTCTTCGCCCTTGTTCATCAGCAAGTAAGCTATGATTATTTAACTCGCTCTCGTTTTACTGAAACAGCAAACTTCCTGACAAAATGGAAACTTCAGAGGAGATTCTTTGCTGGGTGAAGGCGGACATTAGGAGGACTCTATTGGAAATAGGTTGGTTCAATGTTAAGAGTTATGAAAAAAGGAATTTCTGACCGAATAAACATTATTCTCCTTTCGTAAGTTGTTAAGCAATCGTTGTTCAGTAAAAGCTTACGTTCTGTACCTAAAATTACAGACAAAACCAGTGACGTTGTACAAGGCCTATTTCGGCTCGCAGAGCGATGCTTTGATTTGCTGAATGAACAAACAAAACCACTGGTGGATGGACAGACCTTCATTGGGAGTCAGGTGTATGGCACAACCCTGTCGTCACCTCTTACATTCCTTCGAATCATTCATCAGATACAACCGCTTGTTAAAGGAGGAGGTTAGAACGATCATCGATCGAGTGTCCGACGTAGTCTGGACTCTCTTTTTATTTTATATATTTTTTATTTTTTATCTACACTTTTGGATTGTTTAAAATTAAACAAATGCCAAACGGAAACCGGTCATGCGCAACTTGATCTCATGTTCATGCGTGCTTGTTGTCGGAAACTTTGATTTCCTATTGCCCTCTCTGGGCATGATTTTCTCCTTGAGATCGCTTTAATTGGTGGATGTAGTCATTTCGTTGTTGTTTTTACATCTCTCAATTGGAAAACGCCCTGGTTTGAAAGTTTGGAAAAAGGTTTAAACCAAGGAAGCCACAGATATGATAAAGAGAATGAAACAAGGGAAAGGTAATTACACCCTTCCCTTGGAACTATGGTAGCGTCCCCCTTTCACGCTTTTATCATGATTATTTTTTGTCGGTAATTGTTTGAAGCATTTGGAGTGGTTTTTCTACAGAACTTTGTTCTGAATATTGCATAATACAATGCTTCAAACTTGTTGTTCCTTTCTTTATCTGTAGATTTAAATTACCTCAAGTTTCTTTGTTACTTGCTTTTCCAGCCGACCGACTATTTGAACTTCTTGAAACACTTTTGCCACCTGAGTTCCACAAAAAGCACAGTCTGTCTTGGAATTTTCTCAAAGCATCGATCGGGAATGAACGAGGTATTCTCATACTGTTTTGAATCCCCCTCTCTTTCCTAGAATTTTTCTACCGTCATTGCACTCTTGAAGGAAAAAAAGATCTTCCCCGAAGGTTTGGGCTAGAAATAAAATCCCGAGACCGATGTTTGCTTTCATTATATCTGTATTCGGGTTACTTTAAACTTGTGTGATGTTTTTTTTTATTGTTGTTGATGTTATTGTTTTTTGTCACTTTCTCAAAATTTCTTTTTCCAGGGCCCGTAGTTGAAATAAAGGTTAACTGTAACATGACGGTGCCCTCTTGGTACAAGGGAACACCAATGCCAATGATTTGCATCGTGGAACCAAGCATGATTCATCAGTTTAAGGCACAGGTCAGTTATCCAAATAATAATCCAGCCAATCAATCGAGTTTTGTCCGAGCAGACGAAATTCCTATGTTTAGGGCCAAAAACCATGCAGTTTAGTACCCCTAGTGATTAAAAACAATCAGCAGCGATAACCATAACTGACAAAAACAAAATTACATGAACAAGACATACTAGAATTGCATTTCACTTAATAATTCATTTGTGTTGTGGAAAATTATTCCTAAGTGAATCCTTGTAATGTCCTAACGTTATTGCCATGTAAGATGTTTCCTTGGAAATCTCTTGGAAATTTACAGTCTGCCTCTTGAAAGTTGCGCTAATGTGCGATGGACTGGAACTTAGAAATGTACATTTCACTTAGCTCCACGCGGCCTGTCGTGCTGAAGAAGTCCATTATCAGGTATAAATGTTTGGTGGTGTTTATTTTGACCTGTCCAAACAACTGACTCAAATACGTTTTCAGAAGGTGTTCCTTATATTGACGATTTTGAAATTAGTGTTAGTAATTGGCAAGTATTATTACAAATTAAAAGGCCGTATTTGTTTTTCAAGATGCTCTCTGGTCAGATGAGATCCACAGAAACGATATTTCCATCAATTTACAACAGCTTACGTTATGATGACAAAGCCAATATTGTAACATTTCATGCTAGTGAGAAAGACTGGAACGAGATGAAGTCAAATGCGTTCATGTGGATTTTCTCCAGCGACATGAACCCCGTCGTAAATAGCGACCCAGTGTTTCTCGGAGGAGAAACCATTAAAACAAGCCGATGCGTTGATCCGGTCAAGAAATTTGGGTTATTTTCAGCGCAGGCTTTTACCGTGACCGAAACAGGTGCAAACTGCCAAGTACTCAAGGTAAGGGTGATAATTTATCTTAGTCAAAATCCCTACATTTTCATCCGAAAAATCCTTAATAGATAAAGTAAACAGGTCCATTTTCTCTGAAATTGAGGGGTACGGTTGAAATGAGTCCAATTTTCTCTTTCGCGCTGAAGAAAAAGATTCGCCGTCGTCTTACGTCTATTCAGCAAAAGATCACAGATTAAGTCAAAATGTGGTAGGCAGAAGCAAGTTTCTCTACTGTTCTCACCATGGTTTGGCATCTTTTGTGATCTGTTACTGAACGTACACGCGGCAATGTGAAATCTATTCGTTGTATATGATAAAAAATGCAAAATGTTTTTAACAGTTACGACACAATGTATGCGTCTGTCCTCCAGTAATCATAGGTAAGAACCAATCAAAGGGCGGGAATGATTCAGTTTACCATTCCATCTCATTTTGGAATCTAGGAGTTTCATCTATCCGGGAAATAATCAGAATAAAAGTACTTAAAAACTTTTTTACACCAGATAAGCTTGCCTAAATAGTAAAAGCTTTCGGCTAGACCTCTAGCCCTAGTCAAGGCTAGAGGTCTAGCCGAAAGCTTTTTTACTTGTTAGACAAGCCTATCCGGTGAACAAAAGTTTTTAGATATTTATATTGTCATATAATTATGTTTGAAACAACTACAGTAACTCCAGTTCATGATCATCTTAACAGTAGTTGAACTTCACGGCATCATCATAAAGGAAAAATTTGAGTCGAGGCTGGATAATGACCAAATTTTCCACGCGATCTTCTTCGACTGTTGCCTCTTTTCGTCTTAAATTTCCGAGCTCTCAATTTTTTTTTTATAGATTTTTAAACTGATGTGTTTTTAGATCTGTATTAAAACAAGCTAGCAACCATATTTGCGAAACATACTGACAACTCTGCGTTTTAAAAGAGAGTAATTCCTTTAAGGTTTTCTTAGGTAAGTACAGTAATGCCAGTGATGGATATGGCGCTAAGTTAAAAATCGTTAGAGAATATCCATAGTAGAATTGTTTTATATAACAGTAGTAAGATTCACATTGGTAGTTACCTATTTTAGATCAACAAAGTCGAGGAGAATACGTTTTCGTATAATGAAGAACTTGACATACTGGACTTACAACAATGCACAGCCAGCACAATGAAGATTAGCTTTTCTCCAATTAAATGCCCAGTTGAACTCCAGATATACTTCGAGGGAGCAACAGGGTGAGTATCACTGCATTTGAAAAAGAGAATGGTTTTATTTTGCTTAAGATGAAGCAGTTGAAAGTTTCTCGTTGTATTTAATAAAAACGTTTAAAAAATATCAACCGAGCCTTTCAGAAAAGTAAAAAAGAAAGACAATTCAAAGATGGATGGATCCTATCTTGTAGAAAATGCGGAAAATTTTAACAAAAATCTGCAAATAGTGACTGAATACTTACATTTAGATTAACTTCTCTTAAAGAAATGGCTCTATCATCCATTATTTGTTGGTAATAATTCTAACCTCAGGACAACGTTTTAGGTAGTACCCATGACAAAGGAATTCTTCGTTTTAACAGAAACCCGCTGCAGATATACTTTTCATGTTCTGTGAATGAGAACTTGGCCAAGTTCCAGATTTCACGCACGCGCAAAAAAATACTTTGTCACATTCCTAAAAGAGAAGATGGAACAGTGGGCGAGCTAGTGATACAGAATGTGGCTCCAGTCCCCTTCCATACCATGTTATTATGGGATGGCAAACAGCACGACAAAAAGTAAGTCCAGCATGCGTAACTAATTCCATCCTCTGGGGAAATAATGAGGCCGATCAGGACCCTATTACCTGACGATTTTATCACTTATCTACCCTCAAACGACTATGGGCGCTAAACGAAAATTTGTAGAGGAAAGCTCCCTGATACGACCCTTGGTTTCCAGAAATTAGCAAAAGCCAAGCAAAAAACTGCCAGGCAAAATTTTCCCTCCCGTAATTTTTTCGCAAAATTTTACTGGGGTACTTGCCAAAATATATGTTCTTCGACACGCTGTTCACACTACTGAGATTGCAAGGAGCAGTCTCACAAATTAAGTATGGGGTCACATTTCGAGTGAGGAATTTAAGAGGAAATGAATGTAATTGGCCAGGTGTACGATTAAAGCTTTTCCTCGACTCGCCACAAAAGTACGTTTCCAACGTAACATTTCTTACTTCTAATTTTGCCTTTGATGTACAGTTTTAAAAGGTGATTAAGTTGACTACCCGTGCATAATACGAATACCCTCGAAACTAATAAATTGTATTATATACCATTACAGAATGTTCAGCAAAATGTTTCGCACAAAGCTTGATCTTGAGCTTAAGTCTCAAAGAAAGAGTGGTTCGCCGTTTTATAACCTCAGGGAATCCATTACCATGATTTTGTGCAAGCATTCAGAAGAACCTAAGGTAATCTTTGTTTTTTCGCCTTTACTAAAAAATCGTCTAAGTCTAATCTTTGTTATCACTCCAATCATCATTTGGTGTTCTTGTTATCCCCCTAGAATTGCTTAGATTAAGAGTCGAAAATAACTCCATATTTATTTTTTTCCGCTTTATTAAATTCAATGATTGATTAAAAAATTTCGCGCTTTTGCCTTAAAAATCCAACAAAAAATTATATGCTATTTACTTCTCTTGAAGTCACTCTGGTTTCCTATGTGAGTATCCAGGCATACCAGGACGTTTACATGTCCTTACGACATTTGTCCTATTTTTTTTTTATTATTCTAGTTCAAATTTCATGATTCTCAATCGAAAAGCGAACATTATCTCTCAAAGAACGCTTTTCCCTTCAAAGAAGGGTCGGGCAGGAAAAGGCCCTGGCATCGGTCGATCACGTGCGCATCCAACACCTGTGTGACTGTAGTTAATTAGGATGTGACGTAGCAGTTCACAGAATCAAGATGGCGGAGTTTGGTGTGAAATTCTCGGTGCTCAGTCGTCTTGGAAGCCATCGACGACTATCGTATGCTCCATCACTAAGTCGGAAAATCAAATTACGAACTTTTTGGGAGACGACTGCTCCATACATACGCTTAATCAGCGAATTACTAACCTTTATGAGCCACTGTGGAGAAGTTTCTAGGGGAGATTTATTGAATCAATTAAGCGACGTTCCAGGGAATATCCTAACGTAGATATTGAGGAAATTCCATCAAGCAATAAACAAGCAGGATTAACCACAGAAATGCATACATTGATTTATAGCTGGAATGAATATTTAACATCATCAAGTGACCGGCCAATGCCAGGGCCTTTTCCCACCCGTCCCCTCTTTGAAAGGAAAAGCGCTCTGGGAACGAGGTTTAGGAGCGGTCTAATGTAAATTTTCTAACATTATTTTCGTCTAATGTGCAGCGAGAAGCGAAAGTATCTTCTGTTGAAGAGAATGTAGACTCCATTTCAGTGAACCACCCTCTACACAGGAAAAATTTACAGAGAATCACCATGATGCTTCTGCGCGTTTGTTTTCTACGCAACAATTGAAATGTTAGATCATCACAATAATTGATAAAAATAATATAAAATAGCTGTCCTTTAGTTTAACACCAATGGCAGTCCTAGAACTGTACCCCAAGACTTTTGCACTCAACTTTATCATCAGACATTTCGGAGACAAACTTTAATTTGTTGCCTTCATGGCTCTTATCATTTCAAAAAACTATTTTAGACGCCCTTGGTTCATTGCGTTGATGAGCTTGGAATCATTGAAGAGCCTTATCAAACGCAGGACAATATGAAAAGGAAGAAGGGCTTTGTTATCAAAGTACAGGAGATGTACAAGTGGAAGTTCCTTCCTGTTGCAAAAGTTTTATTCTGCGATTGTCAAAGTTTAGCTGACAAGCTTCAAAATAATCCAACGGACGTCCATCTGATGGCGAATTTCTTTTCCAACACCTGGTTACACTTGGTGCATAGAATTGTGGCTGATGGTGAGGTAAGTTCAGCGAAATGTTTACACCTATATTGGTCGCACTCGATTGAAAAACAGTAAAAAAGAAATAATAAGAATGTTCACAGCATGTTTTTGGTTTGGGTAGGCTACACTGGAAAATGAAAAATATGGTTAGAATATATGGAGAGCTTTTATATATACTTGATCTGCAACTCTCGCGAATATAACAAACGAATTTTCGTAATTGAAAAAAATAAATGCATGGCAAAATGTCGAGAACACGATAAAGAGAAAGATTATTTAACGTTAAAATACTTTCTTGCTAATAGAACGCGAAAATTAATAATAATAATAACAATAATAATAATAACGGTTTATTCACAGTATATCCACATAAAAAGGTGTGGCTCTTCATCTGTGAAGGCCTACGATACTGAAATTTAATATTAAAACTAATTTATAATGACTAGCTAAATTGTAATAAAAACTATACAGGAAAGTAAATATGCAGAATATATTGGTTGTTGGTGGTGGTTGTTTCTATATCTTTACAAGGAAGACAAAGCGCACGCCTTCAAGAACGCCTTGCAGAGCCTACAGTATTCTTTAAAATCTGTGCAATTCCTTATATTTGCTGGCAATTGGTTAAAAATTATGGCTGCTGAATGCTGAAAGGTGCCTTGTACAAATGGAACATAAAGCCTTGGAGCAACACTGGAACTGAGATGCCTAAAGGGTTTTACGACTTGCAAATTTAAATGGGAGGGCCAATTATCAGAATACAGTGCTTTTAAAATAGTCTTTAGTAGCGAGTAGTCCCCTAGCTCCAGGATAGGTAGCCAGCCAAGAAAAAAAAGTCAACCATAAAATCTATTTCAACGTGACTTCATTTACAAAGGACCATGGTTTTGTCATGCCCAAAATGCTTTATGCTGGAAATATTTTGTGTTCTGTAGAGGCGTTGTGGTTTGCTAAATCTTGAACTCCTTGATAGTATTATTCTACATCTCTATTTGTTGACAGGAGAAGACCCTGCTCCGTAAAATGCTCTACACAAATGCCGCAAGAGTAGATCAGGAGAGTGAATCTAGTGTGTGGAAGAATTCCTTTATTACTCTTTTGTTCCCTAGACAAAGAACTCTTGACTTGTTTGGTAAGTCGAACTTTATAGAACACCTTTGCTTTTCTTTTTCATATGATTTACCATCCTTAGTAATGCGGATTTCTTGGCGCCAGTACTTAACGTTTTCAAGTCAACTTTAAACGTCTTATTTAAATACGGAAAAAGATCCTCTTATAAATCCTTTTTCCTAGTTTTTTCGTCCTTTGGCTCTAAGTTTTGTCTTTGTTTGATCAAGACTAACGAAGAGAAGAGGAGGTTTCTGCAATAGATCCTGTTTGCATAACGTCACTTTGGCCCTTTTGTTACCAAAACAATAGAGTGGCGGCAATGTTGGTCTTTAAGGCAACTGTAGGTGATTTAAGCTCTTTTCAAATCTAAACAAGATAATTTGGTTCTATCAACTGACTAATAATATAAAGTGACCACCGTAAAGAGTTCCTAAGCTCACGTTTTGAGCTTGAACCCTCAGTCCTTCGCTCTGGCGAAGGGCTAACGCTCGAGACGTGAACTGATACTATCAGTGCGTATTCATTCGTTCATTTCAACGAACCCTGTCTGTTTTTCTTATCATGGGAACAGCTGGATTGTTTAAAGGAAAACTGAAAGACTTCCCTTTTCACCCGTGTTCATTTCCTCATCAAGCAAGACAGCCAGGAGAGCATTCCACCCAAGACAGTTTCTCAGCATTCCTAGCGGACTTCGCACGCCAAATGGTTAATTTTAACAAGGGGCCAAGAGATACATCGGACTGTAACCTCTCAGAGTGGGGATCTCCTCTAAAGGAGCCAGAATGCGCCTTCTGCCATTCAAAGGAAGGCACTCTGAAGCGATGTCTTGGCTGCAAAAGGGTTTTCTACTGTAGTAGAAATTGCCAGAAAAAGCACTGGAGGGAACATAAAACAGACTGCCAAAGTATCTCTTAGATTATCGAATTGACAAGTTACAACTTTCTTCGATCTTTTTCCAAAGCACACCACTAGCCATGAAATTTTACCACAATTATTGTTTTCTCCCGTCATCGAAATTGAAAGTTCATGTATGCATTCGAAGCTCATGTTGAGTTACTAAACATAACAATATTAAATTTTTGTCTAGTTTCAAAACTTGTAAAAGCATTAGTGATGAGACAAAACCAAATGAAAATACTTTCTTTCTTTATTTTGTTAAGTTCTCCCTCGTGTTTTGTAATGACACGAAGCTAATGTTGGGGCTCTAGTTAGCGCTGTCCATTAAGCGACATGTGGCCAAGAAACTAGAAATTGATATCTGACAAGTTATGTTTGTAAATGTTTTGGGGGGAATTTCATGTTTTGTCAACAGAGTGTGAAGCAAAATTGTGAGAGCGAGTTTCTTTACGGTTACGACGAAGATCGTCGTTACATTATTCACGATTTCCTCTGCTGTTCAAACTGCACAGTGATGCAATTAGCGATTTAGCTTATTGTTTATGAAAGTCCTTTTAATGAAGGCTTCTATCATTCACTCCATGTAAATAATCATGATTATCATGTACATGTGTACCCACCCTTACAGCTGTTGGGTCTCCTCATTCATTGTTCATGATTTGTAGGAGTGGATGTTTTTTGCGATCAGCGATTCAGCTTTCTTATTGTTAATGAAAGTATTTTTAATGAATAGCTTCTATCATTCACTCCGTGTAAATAATCACGATTACCATGTACATGTGTACCCTTACAGCTGTTGGGTCTCATCATTCATTGTTCATGATTTGTAGGAGTCGATGTTTTTTTGCGATCAGCGATTTAGCTTTCTTATTGTTAATGAAAGTATTTTTAACTAATAGCTTCTATCATTCACTCCGTGTAAATAATCATGATTACCATGTACATGTGTACCCTTACAGCTGTTGGGTCTCATCATTCATTGTTAATGGTTTTTAGGAGTCGATGCTTTTTGCGATCGAGTGTCTCATCCTCTGAGAGATGCTCTTTGTTTACAAACTTAGAGCAGAACACTCTCAACAGATGTATAAAGTACGTTACTA